GACGAAGAGGAAGAGGAGGTGGAAGAGGATGAAGCAGAGCAGCCAAAGATCTCAAAGGGAGGCAACAAGACAAAGAAGACAAAGAAGAATGAGGATGAGGGTACTGAGGAGACAGCTAAGAAGACAAAGGTTGCAAAGAAAGACAAGAAGGTCGAGGAGAACCTGGAAGAGACAGAGACACCAAAGACAAAGCCCCAGAAGAGTGGGAAATTCAGCGGGACAGACCCACAGAATGGAAAGAAGGTGAAGGATGAGGATGAGGAGAAAGGAACAACAGAGAACCGCAAGAGTTCAAAGGAAGACAAGAAAGAGAAGAAGCTGAAGATTGCAAAGCTTCCCAAGGAGGACGAAGAGGAAGAGGAGGTGGAAGAGGAGGTGGAAGAGGAGGTGGAAGAGGATGAAGCAGAGCAGCGGAAGATCTCAAAGGGAAGCAACAAGACAAAGAATACTAAGAAGAATGAGGATGAGGGTATTGAGGAGACAGCTGAGAAGACAGAGGTTGCAAAGAAAAACAGTGGGAAGTTCAGCGGGACTGACTCAAAGAAGAGAAAGAGGGCGAAGGGTGAGGATGAGGAGACAGCGGGAACAGAGATCCGCAAGCGTTCAAAGGAAGACAAGAAAGAGAAGAAGCTGAAGATTGCAAAGTGTTCCAAGGAGGAAGCAATGGAAGAGGAGGAAGAAGAAGATGAGGGTCTTGAGGAGGAGGGTTCAGCCAAGATGACAAAGGCTGGAAAGAAAGACAAGAAGGTTGAGATGAAGAAAAGCAAGAAGATCAAGGCCGAGAAGAGTGAATCAGAAGGTGAAGGGGATGAAAGTGAAGAGGAGATGGAAAAGAGTGAGGAGGATGAGAAGCCAAAGAACGGCAAGAAAACAAAAAGAGTTTCCAAGGCCTCTCAAAAACTTTACCCATGGCGCTGCCAAAACTTCATGGTCACCTCTTCTATGCATCCGCTGTTCACTTCTCACTGTTCTATCGATCCCTGTAATTGACGTGATGGATTTGGGCACCTCTCAACCGATTTGTCTGGGATGTGAATGCATTATTCTAAGCCTTCCATTCACTTTCCCGCCAGGGTGACCTGATGCGAGATGCCTACCACCAGTTCATCAAGGATAAGATGCAGGAACTGAAAGATGCAAACCCTGGATGGACCGGTAGAGAAGTCTTGCAGGAAGCCAGGGCTTTGTAAGGACCCCAGACATCAAACTTAGTGATATCAAAAAATAGTCCCAAACATATACAACTCCAAACAACCGTTGGTGTTTGAAAAAATGCTCCCTTCTCTCCGCATCAGGTGGAAGGTGTCCGAGACCCGCACCAACAGCATCCGCAACATGACTCAGACCCAACGCTGCAGAAGACGCCTCTAGAAGCAGTGAGAAGGTCTCTAGGTCTCTATGTTGGATGGTGAGTTTTGGGGGACAGCGAGAACACCATGCTCAGAGTTTCAATCATCACTGAATCAAAAAAAAAGTTTTGATGGTGCTATATTTTTCAATTTGCTGGTGGTTTTGCTGTATGGGGATACGCTGTGACTAGCAGCCTAGCAGTGCATGGGCGGGGTTTCTCAAGGCAGTTGAACCCTCATGAAACGCACTGCCTGCAGAGCAGCGGCAACTATCTTTTTAGTTTTCTTGGCAGTGTAAACACTGCTCCAAAAGATGCTATCAGAATCTCCGATTCAGAGGATGCGGAAAAGTCAGTCGCAGTGTGATGCACCAAGCCTAGCCTATCTCAAGTGGCAACAACACCTTTAAACGAGCACACGGTGGCTTGATCAAAGGTTCGCAACAAAATCTTTTGTTGACTCTGGTGCAGGTGAGCTTGATCATGTCAAGACGTTCGTGGTCAGGAGCGACCTAGAACGGGTCGTGTTGGAGATGCCCAACGAATCCGGCAAAGGTACTTGCGATGCAGAGGTATCCTCTTACAGGTCGCTTCTCCACGAGATGGAAGAAGAAGGTGTCATTGAGGTCACTCTGAATGGTCATGAGTGCCACCGACCGCCCGCCTCTGGTGATAAAGCATCAAAAGACGACAGCTTCAGCCTCAGTTCATTGCTGCGCTCTCTCTCTCTCTGTCACCAGATGGTTTAAGTCATTCCAGCTCTTGAACTAGCTAGGTGCGGACTTCTTCGATTTGAAGCCGAAACCGACCCCGGTGTACTTCCAATGGACTCCACCTTCAAACAGTGGCTCTTTGAAGTATTCCTCCCTCGCAAATCTGTTCCCGGAGAAGGTGCCATACAGTAGTTTGATGTTTGATGAAACGCAACAGTTGATGACACATTGATAAAATGTGATAGACTTCCAACTCTCCTTTGACAGGCGTTCGAGGTATCACGCTCGCTGCATTGTGTGTGGCGTGTTGCCTACTTGAAGGATATCAACGTGCTTAAGCTGCAACAAGTTCTTGAAAGCAAACTGGAACTCTGAACCAGTCAGTCCCATGCCCATGCAGCACTCATAGCAGATCTAGACATGATATCCCGACTCATTGAGGAGTTGACACCTCGATTCTTGGCAGCAAATCGAAGTCCATGATCCTGCCCAGTTCGAATGCATGTCCCATTCTGCATGCACTGTGTTTTCTGGGATTGAACTCATCGTTAATCAGAACTGCCTGGCAGGTAAACCGCTCTATTTCCTACGGGGGTCGAAGAACTTGTCCATGGACACCAACCAAGTGATCCGTCTCTTGTGAGTCACAGCTGGGTGAAGGCAACAGTATTTTGTTGATTTCTTCAGGCGCTTTCAAACGTTGACTATGTTGTAAGGATTTTAGCAGGCCAGATTTACGAATTACAAAAAAATCAACTCATGATTCATGACTCAATGCCTTCCGTTTCAACCTGATGCCTTCCGATCGATAGGGAAGAAAGGATAACCTTTCAGTTGGGCTCGAGGAAGCTCAGGCTCAGGCGCGCCAAGGCGAACGACAAAAGGCAGCGGTGTCTGTGTGAGAAGAGAATTGCCTTATAATTATGATCAACCAGAGTTCTCATGCAGTCGTGCAACCTGAGAAGTGCTGGCTTCTACAACTCATGTATCGTGATCCTTGTTGCGCATTCCCTGCGATTCACCCACTGGTCGATTTGTTGTGCCCATATGTGTCTCGCTCTGAGGTCCGACCCCTTCCATTCCTTCTGACAACTCAAGGTCCGGAGCGGGCAGGTTTCAAAAGCAAATTGAAATAAAACAATATCTCGAAATATCTCGAATATATTTAGCTGAGCGCCGGGTTGCCGGGTGCCGGGTGCCGGTTTGCCGGGTGCCGGTTTGCCGGGTGCCGGTTTG